AACTACAATGATGTTTCGGTGAGGTCCCACTCACCATCCTCAGGCTGGTGCTTTCGGCTTCGTGCCAGTGCAAGCAGTGTGCAATCAGAGCTGCCGTCTCTCTATAAATACTGGTGGTGGGGGCTGGTGTGCTGGGCTGGTTGGCTGCGCTGCTGCCTCTTGATTGGTTGATGGAGGTATAATGGGCTGTGTGATGGCCTTGTGAGTTTTGTTGTGGAGATATCCTGGATCTTGTGCTGTAATTTCCTAGGTCTTGTGGTGTAATTTCCTGAGTTTTCTGATGTGATATTCTGAGCGGGTGGCTGTGATGTAGCATTCTGGGTTTTAGTCTGGCTTCGAGTTTGGGGTCTGGGTCTGTGTTCTTGGCGTGTGTCAGCTAGTTTGGTTTTGGGGTCGGGGGGTGCAACAGCTGGTGAGGCAGCTGTGGTCTGTTTTCTGGATGGTTGTTGTCTTTCGTTTATAGGATGGGCTTGGGCCTGGGTCTGATGAGGGGGATTGGCGGTGGTGTCCCATTTTGTTTTGGGTCTGGTGTTGGTTTTCGTGGCTGGGACTCATTTGTTGGTGAGGGCTAGCTTCCAGATGTCTGGTAGGTGGGAGGTATCATCCTGCCTATTCATGTTATGGGGGTGTTTCTCTATCTCGAGGGCTTCCCTGATTATTCTCTTGCTGGAGTGTTCAGTGTTGGATATTAATTTGGTTCCTTCGAAATTAATTTCATGTCCTGTGGCTTTAAGGTGCTGGAAGAGGGAGGAAGTATTTTCTTCTCTTCTGATTGCGTTTTTGTGTTCTGCGATGCATGCATTTATTCTACTGTTGGTTTGTCCAATGTATGTGGCTGGGCAATTGTTGCATGGTATTTCATAAACTCCTTGGTTTTTTAGCTGGAACAAATGACTCAGGATATCACAGCACAAGACCAAGGATACCACAGCAATAAGTCTCACAAGGTCATCACACAACCCATTACCCAAGCCGTTAAAACACAAGAGGCTAATGGAAAATAGATCACTACAAAACAAACGATCCAGGAGATTATAGCAAAAGATCCAGGATATCTCCACAACAAAACTCACAAGGCCATCACACAGCCCATTATACCAATATCGACTCCATCAACCAATCAAGAGGCAGCAACGCAGCCAACCAGCCCAGCACACCAGCCCCCACCACCAGTATTTATAGAGAGACAGCAGCTCCGATCACACACTGGCACGAAGCCGAAAGCACCAGCCTGAGGATGGCGAGTGGGACCTCGCTGAAACGTCACCAAGGTACTCTTTAATCTTACACGGGAAAAGACCCGAACACACCTAGACCTACATACCTGTACCCGTGAAAATCTACAAAAATACACACACACACACACACACACACACACACACACACACACACACACTTTAAGAGAAATTTCTAACAATATTCAATATTCAAAAATAACAGCTTTGTTTAATACAAAACCGTAAAAATCTATAGTTTTTTTTACTAGACAAAAGTTGATGGGCAATTCACACATCCCTTGAACTCCTTACCATTTTATCGTTTCCAATAGCTTTAAGGACTGGTGTTAAAACATCAAAGCAGCTATCAAAGTGAATTCTGATCTGGGTGATTTCTGCTTTGTTGATCACAAGGGACCTTCTCATGATGATTGTAAGAATCCTTTCTCCTTCTTTCTCTTTATGCAAAAGGAAAAAGAGAACACATGTATCTTCTAGTCATTCCCACAATCAGCAATTTTCTCGGAATAGCTTCAATGAATCATCCTATAATATTTATTAGGCACTAGGGTCAAAGGTGGGATTCAACCGGCATTACTACCAGTTCGGTGATTATGTTATTCCTATTTTCCCCAGTTTCACCATATCCTCTTCTTTCAATAAAGCATCCAGATCTATTACACACTATCTATTTTATTGGAGGATAGGGCAGTTTAGCTGCATGTCAAGCTGGACACAGACTAATGTATAGCAAGGCCAGAACACTAAGAATAACCAAAAATGACACACATTTTCAAGAACTCAACTTAAACATAAATATTTCTACTGAGAATAATCTCTCATGGACTTACCCTGTAGGTGATAACTGCTGATGTCTTCTTTTGACAATCTGATTGCCTCCCAAAGTATGTCCTTAAACACAATGTTTGAAGTAAAAGTCATGTTAATGGCAGGTAAGTAAGTAAGTAAAAGCCCCATTTTAAAAAATATTATAATTTTACCTCTAGGCTTTCTGAATAGAATGTAATGCTCTCGCTTCCATAATTGAAGTCAATCCAAAACTCTTCTAGTTTGTCATCAGCAGGTTTCTTTAACTTGGATATAAAAGGAAACAATCTCAATTTGATTTCTAACCCCCAACGAAATCCAGTACAACATAACTTTGCATTTTAGAAACCCAAGAAACAAGTGATGTAGTACAATGCTAGATGTTAGAGAATTTCAGCTACTCCCCTTCTCATGCAGAGTCCTCAAGATAATTTCCACTGCTTTAGTTTCCTGAGGTTTTTCCTTCTTCAAAACTAGTAATTCCCAATGAATTCACTATTTAGCAAAATATAAGTTACCAGACTCCTTGTTGCATAATGAATTAAAGGTGATTAGCTTTACTATTTAGTACTAGCAGAATATATGCAATTTTGGAAGCAATTTCTGAAGCTGTGGGTACAAGAGACACTTCAGATCTGAATAAAACATAATTCTAAAAAAATATTATAAATCAACATCTTTGAAAGAATAACATGTCCCACAAAATCCCAAGTACTTTTTCTTCAGTAGCTGTAAAATAAGAAACTGCAACATACCAATTTCAAGTTATTTGCAAGTTTTATTTTGCTAGTATTCAAGAATGGATGGAATTATATGCATCAATTGTTCCTGAGAACTGTTTTCAACACTAAAAATAAACCAGGAACAAAAAGAATAGCAATATAATTATGGGATGGGAATAGAAGAACTTTTATTTCTCAAAGTTACATAAAAATATGTTCACATCTTGTTTGACCTTCATCAGCTCCCTCTCCCTAAAGGGAGTAACAGAAATAAATAATTTCCCCCAAATAACACTTTTGCTATCCCATTACTAAACTAGAAAGATTGGATAACAAACATTGTAAGTAACCCTATTAAAATCTCTACATGTCCAATATTTCATAACATCACAATGTAATTGCTAGCTTAATTACCTCAATCAGGTCAGCATAAGCAACTTTACACGGAATTGAATAGATCCTGAAAAATAAGACAATTTCACTGATCCTGAAACACAATCTCTATTCCAATCTGCTTCTAGAACAGATATAGTGGCATGGCTTGGAATTCAGGCCTAGAGATTTTCAAGTTGTAAAAGCCTGAATGATAAGCAAAAATTAAACCAGAGAAGCTCAAGCTAATCTAAATTATCAATTGAAGTCAATCTGGATCTGTACAGCAATGTACTGTGTAGTCCAGTTAAGAAGACATTAAGATCTTGAACCTTCAAAAATGCGACGAATCTATACTCATCACAAAGTAACACTGGATCGAGTTTTTAAAATTATATTTATCACAGTATTTACTTAGACAATAAGGTGCTTCAAAAAAGCTTACATCCAGGTGGTTTTACAAGTGAACTTAAGAATATTTTTCTTTTGCGCTTTGCACTGAATGGCCCAAATACATAAAAATTTCCTAAATAATTCATAGGAACAGTGCTGGCAGGTATGATTCAAGCATACAAATGAAGAAAAGCATTACTAACAAACATAACACCATGTTATTCATGAAGTTTTCTCATGACTGAAGAAGCAAATCTATGTGAAGTGTTGCTTAGCAAAATATCTAACTTAGCAAGACCCAACATGAGAAAAAGTTATTTATCCTGGGCTAGCAAACCTGTTTGAGGATTTTTAGGGAAGGTCAGCATTATTTTATGTCAACATTTCGTGGAAAATAAAGCAAGCCCACATCTAATTCCATGCTTCATCAGCAATTCACACTTCATTAAGAGAGGTACTTTCCTTTCCGCACAGCTTAAGGTAATATCAAAACTCCAAATTAAGTAAAATAGCTTGCCAATATGGTTGTTTTCTGCACTGGTGTGGCAGGGGGGCAATGAAACTGGCATGGAAAATGACAATCAACTTCTGACATTACTGCATCTCACACCACCTGATAATATCAGCATAGATATGTGATTCAAAATTTGATCTCCACACATTTTTTAAAGGAACATGTTTCCTGATCCTGCATAACCCACTGCTCACCTTTTTAAAAGTTTATGTTTTCAAGATTTTTTTAAACATCCAAGAGGATATTAATGGCATTAAAAATAATTCATATTGTATCTATGGTGTTAAATATTATAGAACTACAGGAATCATTTGTCTCAAGAACATAAATTGTCCTATTCTGTATAAAAGTGCAGCCGATCTTTTGTATCTTGCATTACTTACCCTTACTATCGCAAATAGTCAATGGTGAAATTTAAAAAATGTTTCCAATAATTTGAAATCATAGTTAATACTGAATTGTTAGCTAGCATGCCTCTCTCTTTAATACATTCCTATTGGCAGACTAAGCTGTGTGCCAATCTGGGAAAGATTCATAGCAAACATTTACCTTCTTTTATCACCAAGTCTTTCATTTAGTTCATTAAGAAACTTTCTGCTATCCTTGAAATGAAGACAGAAAACAGACAGTTACATTTATTTTTTTTAAAGTGCTCTCCTGCTAAGTTGAGGAGGGAATTACTATATTGAAAGTTAATGTCCTCTCCAATGATATTCAAGACAACATGCAAAATATTTGTGTGATAATTATGATGGACTATTAGTTGGCTTAGGTTCACTAGCACAAAGTATCCTAAAAGTGAATTATCAATAGCCTTTTGCAGGGATGTGAAACTCTGCTGAACCATTATTCCCTCAGTTTAAAAGTGAGGAATACCCAAAGGTGAAATTCAAATCTGGATTGTTATACAGAACTACCTTGGCACTCAATTGCTTTGAAGCTCATTGAATTTGGTACTCAATGCATTTTGCCATGAAAATTTTGTCCCGGTATTCAGCCTTTGTTTGGTACTCAATGCACAAGCTAAAACTTGTCAATGTTGGCTGCCTTGATGACTCACTACATTATTTCTTATGGGAGTAAAATGTTTGGAACTCATTATTTTTGGTACTCATTGTGCCTCCTGGAAACCAGTTAATGATGAGTAGCAATGTACCATTGTATGCTCTGTATTACTGACCTATAAATTTAAAAGCAACTTCTGCCGTTTGATTCCTTTCTCCCCTTCCCCAACTGAGAAAACCATGACTATTTCTGATATGAATCACAAAAACCCTTACTGTCTCAAAGTCTCCATCCTTGATTTCTCTAAAAACTTCAGTGACATACTGATCTTCAAACCAACTGTGCACCATATCATCTCGGCACTTTTTCAACATCAGCCTAAACAGGGCTTCAACAAGAGCAACCTGAATATCATAATCTGCAGGAAGGGAAAGGAAGAATTTTTTTTTTCAAAATAACAAACTTAGCTACCCCCACCTCAGCCCGCAAATCGTTTTTAAAGCAGGAAGAAATTCATTTCTGTCACAGCATCACAAGTTTAAATTGAAAACTTTTTTTGTCTACATTATTCTTTTTATTCCATCTCGTCAAATCCAATTCTCAGAAATTGCCTGGACAAGCCCCTGAAATTTTCTTAGCAAATTTTTCAGGGATTTGCCTCCTTCCTAGGGCTGAGAGAAAGTAACTGGCCTAAGGTCACATATCAGGTTTTATGTCCAAGCAGAACTAGAACTCACAATCTCCCAGTTTTTACCCTGGTGCTTTGACCTCAAACTGGCTCTCAGCCCAACTCAAGGTGGTGAGCGTAATACTATTGCCACTCAGCCTGTTGATTTCTAGCCCAGCACCTTCACCATTGCTCCATATTGACTCCCAATGCTGTCTTTACTATCTTTTGGACGAATGTCAATCTACTAAATATAAATAGGTGGGAGACAGATAAGTTCCTGACTCTCCTGCAATTCCCTGCCTCTCTGTTTAGCATTTTAAATTCCAGCTCCATATTTTCAATTCAGAATTTCCCCAGCTCTGATCAAGATATCAAACATTTCTTACCACCAACATCCTGAATAGTTTTCACAAATTCCTTCCTGAAACAACATAGCCCATTAATAACACTGATGACTTGGAAGAGTAATGCAGTAATTCATGATTAATTTTTTTCAAAGTAAAATGCAAACATGTCAACATTGAAAACAAACTAATAAAACCCAATGGACTGCAAAGGATCTATTGCCAATTCTTTTGAAAAAAACTAGGACCAATTGGGTCTCTATTAATTATTTAGCTGCTTATCCAATAATCTAAGCAGAGAAGCAAGACAAATGAGCCAGTTTCAGACTTAATCATAATTAAAGATCCTGATTTGCATCCTTCTTTTGCAGTACAGAGAAAAACCCTGAGAAACTGGAAAATATAAGCAATTAAGACAGAAAATAAGATTTTTTATTTATATAGCCTGCTGTTATTAATTTTACAAATAACTCATGGCGGTGGTTAAGAAATCCTGTCTCCTAAATGCTATTGCAGGAAATGAAGTCAAAGATAAAAGGGATATCCTCCAAATATCTTTGAGGGAGACAGGCGGTAAAGGAACGTGAAAAAGAAATAAAAATATAATCCTGACATGAAAAGTTGACTTACATAAGCAAACACATCTCTTCAGAGGCAGCAAAGGCCTTCTTCTCCTCACGGGTAACATTGCCCAACAGTGTATTCAATGTTCTTAGAGCCTTGGTTTTAGTGATCGAAAGAAAATAAAGAAAAAGGACAAGAAATAAAGTTCAGCTATCCCAATCTGATCAAATAAAAGTTTGCAAGCTGATAAAAACCGATAATGATTTCATGCCTTAAAGTTTGCCACATGGTTTTTAAACTAACCTCCTGTCGAAGGGCACAATTCACATTAGGTTCGGTGGCTAAATGTCCCACGTGTTGTATGAACGTGTCAAGCAACTGCTTTCTTCCTACATAAGTTGAGGGGGAAAATGTGACAGGATTGACAGTATTAACAATCACACACTATCTCTCTAATTGATTTTTAATATTTCTAACAGTTTTATGAGGTTTACTTTTTCAGTCCTTCATCTTAAACAGTATTTCCATCTAAAGCTGTGATGAAATGTTAAATTCTAGCCAATCGTCTCCTTTTAACTCATAACTGCATATCACCGTTTAATTCAGAAGTGCAGCTTTTGAGATATTGAAACAAGTCAAATTATAAGAAGAAAAATCCATGGTTGAATTTTTGAAGATACTTTCTGTCTAATGTAACATTATAATATGGAACAACAAATTTCCCCCATAACTCCTTATAATCTAACTGATTAGCTGGAGCAGGGCCACTGGAATAAATAGTTTTAGCATTTTAATGATTAAGCTAAATAAAGTTTGCAGCCTTATTTATGATTCCTCCCCTCAAAATGTCAAAATACCTTTTCACACAGACCCAACATTAAAATACAAAGAGACTCGTCCTACATTTACTCAAATGTAGATTCTACTTAACTCAATATGCATAGACTACAGTCACAAAATCTGAATGTCACCTTGACTATTCAGTAATTATAACAGTATTTAGTAGCTGACCTTCAGTGCTGTTTTTGCCAATAACCTACAAACAAGATGTTGAGGAGGAAGGAACAGGAGACAGAATGGAGATATTAAAAGTCAATATATGATATTTAGCAAGAATACAGAAAGTTTCAAACATTGTGATATTTTATGCAATCTATATACTAATAATATATAATATGTAATATAATATTATCAGTATGTAATCAGGTAAATAATTCAATTTGTGTTGCTGCAATAATGAACTCTTCAATTCAATAGTTTGTGGCAACAACTGATGCTCCTTTCCCTCATTAGTCTGTGAAAATGAGACTTCATTGCATGATAACTCAAGAGTCAATTCCTACATCATTAATGACAACATATTTATCATTGACAACTGCTCCCAATGTTCAAGTGAGTACTCCCAGAGTACTTGCCATAATAGAAAGATGGGATATATATTATATATAGCAGGTAATGAGTATGGAGCATGCTAGGTCTGATGATACTGGAAGATGAATTTGTGCCAAACTCCCTAAGTGAACCAAATAAGAAATCAATGGACCCCAAAAGTCTTTTCAACCCCACTTATTGGCAAGACTGTCAGAAGAGAAGAAATCTGCAAGTCAGTTGCTTCATAATGACAAGTATTAATAGGGAAAGGCCATCAGATAATTGTTTTGTTGTTCTTTCGATGTGCTTACCAAGGTTGCATTAAAGAAGTCCTCAACAAGATTTACCAAGTGTTTGTTTTCTTTGGGTTCTATCAGGCTCAGAAATTCTCTTGTCCTTTCAAACCAAGTAACCATGTAAACAGGAGACACATGCAAGCAAAAATCAAATGAGCATCTAAAGCCAATTTCACACCAAATTTTAATATACACCTACAGAGGAATTATATTTACTGGAACCAGTGAACATTGCTGTGTGCTTGCTCAACAATAAGTAAAATGATAATGTTCTCTAGCAGAACATATATTGTTAATGTGTGTGTTCTGTTGAAGGGCATGGGGAGATAGATTTACTGCAACAACACTCATCCAGCTCACATTCATTTGCTAGCTTCAAGCAGCACGCTAAGAAACAATGTTATTTGTGTGCCCTTCCCTCATTATCATGGCTTAGTGCAGAGGTGGTATTCAGCAGGTTCTGACCGGTTCTCAAGAACCGGTAGCGAAAATTTTCAGTAGTTTGGAAAACCGGCAAATACCTCCTCTGACCGAAGATTTTAAAATATTCTTCCCCTGCCATGCCCACCAAGCCACGCCCACAGAACTGGTAATAAAAAAATTTAGTGCTACAAAACCTTCTGCTCATTATGGTTCAGTCAACAAACCATGACAAAAACCTATGGTTCAGTACTAATGTTTGCTGGAGGTTGGTCACAAAAGCAAGCAAACATTTCAACAGCATCACTTACAAGGTCTACCCTACCACTGGGCAATATGAAAGTTGGGTGTCCTGAAAGGACAGCAAGTTTTACTTAATTTATTGCTGTTGTACTAGAAACGGCAGGAGGTATTTCTCCAATCTTTAGCCCCCAACAAGAAAAGAACTCATAGTCTGCATTTTGACTTGGTGGAAGGAGCTTCCCTTTCACGCTTCTCCATCTTGAGACAGTCCTAATTATATTTTCAAGTTCCATGGAGGTTCTGTAGACCATTAAAGAGGTACCTCCAACTGACCTGGGAAGCACATACCTTGCACTTTTTTCTATTCTCTAGTCAAGAAACACACAGCTACGCATAATGCATTCCCTGTGAGATCTGGTTAAATTTGTTTCTCTCCCCAAAAGGGCGGGGGGGGGGCATTAGGAGAAGGAATATGGAATTATAGTTGTTTATTGGATATAGATGAATCAATGTTATTGCATTTGGGATGCATCAAGAGATGTTCCATTTCCAACTCATGTGAATCAATAGATTGTATTCTATACTGATCAACACTGAGAACTGGACACACTTTAAAGGATTCAGACAAACCGAAATTAATACAAATAAGGACAGGGATTTAGTTGACAAAGGGAGATTTGGGTTTGGTAATATTCTTCTCAAGGGCATGAAAAAGTAAGTATCGTATAGGAGATGAGCCTGTTTTTTATTCTTTCAAATGCCAGGTCCCAGAAGTTATAAAAAGGCAGATTTTGGCTAAATGTTAGGGAAAACGGCATACTAGGAGGAAGGAAATCAATTACATAAGAAAGGAAAGGGCTCCCCTTTTGCTAAATGCCTTCAAGGACAAATTGGATTTGTGGGATGTATTTAATTTGGATTTTTGCACTGAGCAACAGTTGGACTCAGCCCCTAACATATACAGTAAATAGGAAGTTTGCAATTTTTGCTCACAATAGGCATAGAGAGGTGAAAGTGAAATTTTAACAATAAAAAAGTAATTGAGAATAGTTTTAGTTGCAACAAGATATGTTGAAAAATACGTTTACCTTTCAGATAACAACTTCATAGACACTTCCAGCCAGGCAAGTATGTTTTAGAATATGATATTACTGATTAGTAAAAAAGATATTAATGTATTAGGTTACTTATCTTTGGTATCAATCCTTGCTGAAGAAGCAGATTTATACTTTCCGGAGGACCATTTCTACAGTACAGCTGAATGCATTTCAACAGTAGGGAAACATTCGAAAATTCATTTTTGTCCAATTCCTAAAGCAAATAATTACACATGTGTGACTGCCTAAACAGTTGAATAGATTTAATGTTCAGCAATTAAGAATTTCCTCCATACCCTTTTAAGAGCTTTGTCAAGTTGCTTTAATAATTGTTTCGTGCACTTCTGAGGGACATATTTGTCTTTTTCTTGTATTATTACATTTATTTTCTGAAATCCTTTCCCTTTGAAGGCATCTCTTAACAATGATTCTAGCTAGAACAAAACAGACAAAAAGCAAAACTTCAATATGAGCCTTTAATTACTGACAAATAATCTTTACTCTAGTATATGAATCACAAGTTTGGTTTTAATTTTCCCACTACACCTGAAAGAATATTACAAAAAATAAAAAGACCCCTTCTCCAAGTTTCTCCAGACCAACCCTTTCTAATTGAATTGGACTATAAGTCTGGTAATATTGCCACCAATGAGAATGGTTGTTTCACACAACTGGAAGACTAGGTCAGTGTTTCTCAGACTTATAAACTTTAAGCTTCCAGAATTCATCAAATAGCATGATGGAATTGGTCCTCACAGCTTAAAATTACCAAGGTTGAGAAACACTGGGCTGGGCCCACAAAACTCAGTTTCAATTATTTAATTTGCATGTATCTGATCTACTTCAATACTCCCTTGGAATTAAAATTCATTTATCTTATTAAAAAAACAAAAATTGTATGAATGTATTCCTGTTTAACCTCTAAAAATAGTTTCTATAGGGTTCTTTTTAAGGCAGTGGCCCCCAACATTTTTTGTGCCACGGCCCGGTACCGGCATCACAAAATGATCCGCGGCCCGGTACCAGCATCAGCACGCATGACAAGGCAAGGTGAGCCAAGCGACTGGCCAGCCAGCCATCCCCCGCTTCTCTCCGTCACCTTCAACTCCTCCTTTGTACCTTTGTCGATGGGCTTCGCTTCGGGACGGCTTCGGGACGGTCGCTCAACTCACCTTGCCTTGGGTGCTGAAAGAATCCTCGCACCTTAGTTTTGTTCGAAGCCCCCCCTTCAATGAAACTAAGGCGCGAGGATTCCTTCAGGACCCAAACGCCACTTTCCAACCGGAAAAGCTCACCCGGAAGCACTTTCTTGTCAAACAAGATAGCTGCGCCCAACAAACCGGCGGCCCGGTAGGAAATGTTCCACAGACCGGTACCTGTCCGCGGCCCGGTGGTTGGGGACCCCTGTTTTAAGGTACTTTCTGCTGTACATATTCACTTCATGTACCTATAACATTTCTATTTTATTTATTAAAATGTATATGCCACCCATCTCAATATCCAGAGCGACTCTGGGCCGTTACAATGTTACTGAAAAAATCTATGAAAAGTATGTGACAAATTTAAATAAAATCTGCTTTACTCCAGCAGCATGATATGCTATAGTAAGATTTTGTACTTTATTACTATTAGATTTTAAACCGAATCTGTTCTTCAAGTCTTCAAATACTTTATTTTATCACTACAGCAATTCTGTACATTAGGCTCAGCTGAGAAAGGACAATTGACCACATGCCTAATGGTGGATTAGAACTGGGATTTCCCCAAATTTAGCCTACCATCTTAACTGAAAGACTGGCATAATATACATAGATAGGAGAGACCCATGCACAAGGTATTTTAATTCAAAGCTGGAAGCCAACATTTAATAATGGTGGGAATCCCACAGGACCTAAAGCCTCATTTTGTAGTGCCCAGGTCATTTCAAGATAATTTTTCTGCAAGGACATAGGACTTAATGAGAGGAATGCCTCCCTTTCAGTAGAAGTTTATCAATCCAGACTGGGTGGCCATATTTCTAGGATAAAGAAATCGGCTCAAGAGGTAGGATTAAATTTCTTTGGAGGACTCTTTCAATTATAGGATTCTACAGTCAAAACAAGAAGTCTAAGAAAAAAAATGTATATGGACAAGCCTGGGGTAACATGTAAAAATATCAACAAAACCTTCCACTAAGATTCAAGAATTAAAGTGGTCTATTCAGAGCAAAAGGAACAGAAAGATTAAAAATATACATAGAAGAACTCAGAATTCTTTGAAACTTTTAACAATTGACATTCAAAGAATTTTAGAAAGTGATTAGAGGACAATATTTCTTTTTCTTTTTTGCAACCCTTGTGTTTTTGCCATCATATTTTTATCATTCTTTTTTTTACAGAAAAAAAAATGTGTAAATCTTTTTCACTGAATAGTAGAAGACTCTGTCTTGTGATAGATACCATGTTAATTAAATCAAATTGTTTTTGACTTTTTAAATCTGTGTCAATACTAGTCTGACCATATTAAAATGATTATCCTAAAAAAGATCCAAAACAGTTTATACTTCTATCTTTAAAATGATTTAACAATTTAGTGAAAATCAAATTATATTTACATAATATTCAGTTCTATCTGGCATTTTTTCTTCTTCCTCTCCAATATCTTCTTCCTTTGGATTAAAAAAATAGAAGAAAAAGTTTTACTTCTATGCATATACAAATTCACAATATCTGGCCAATGCTTAAATTAATTTAGGAATAGATGGTAGGAGAGCCCTTCCTTATTTTGCCAACCTCACTCCAAAATAATAAATTGATTCAAACTGGTTGTATTAAGGTACGGAGGGTACTTATCCATACTTAACCATGGCTTACCCCAGCCAGCGTGATTACGTGTATGTGTGTGTGTGTGTTAGTTATACAACTATAGGTGTTGTGAACGTAAAAACTGCTCTGTTTCGCGTAGCGGACAACTGACCTGCAACATTGGTTAAGGCTGCGCTGCCACGCGGCGCTTTCGCCACACCAAGTGCAACCTCCGCGACCAGCTCCTGCCGTTCGCGGGGCCCAAATTCCTCAGCCTGGGGCTGGATGGGTACGCATGCTCAGTGTCGGATCCTAAGCGAGGCCTGTTTGCAAGGAACGCTCGCGCAGTTTTAAAGTTTCTCGGCTTTGGGCGCGTCCTTCCTTGCTCGCGCTTCAGTAAAGTTTTAAAGTCCAAGGACCGACTTTTTAAATTTCTAAGTTTAGGATGGCAGTACTTTACATTATGGGAGATGGGCGTGTCAGTTTAGAGCCTGAGCCGTTGGGAGGAATTCCAACTTGTTTTGCATCTCTCCGCTGACATGAATGGGCTTTTTATGTACTGTTTCCGAGAGATGGAATAAATAATGCCGTTTCTTAATCTCCACCACAAAAGGTTCGACACCAATCCTGGTTGCGGCTGTATCGGTAGAAAATATTTAGACAAAATGGCTTCGCGGAGGGGGACTTTTCGCCTGTAAAAGTACTTCGAAATTACTTTGGTGCCGTCTGTAGAAATGCACCCAGAAAAAAATAATTGCATGCGGTCACACAACACATTTTATTTCTTGACACAGCACTGTGGTCCCTGGTGATTATTTACCGCATAATAAAGTTAGGTCAGATTAGTACACCGTTAGAGCAAAATATGGTTCATTGGAAAGATTAACAGATACGGTGAAATGCAAAGTAATCATCAATATTTAAGCCTAGTATGTTTTGTGAACTTGATGTCAGAAATCTAAAAAAAAATTGCTTACAAGTCCCAGGTAATAACCACAAATCATCAGAATTTACTTTAAAAAAAAAAACAAATCCAAACTTCAAGCCATGTGGCCACAGCTGATACTAATTTCTTCCAGTTTATTGTTCTAAGCAACAATAACCAACTTAATTCGTTTACGGCACAATGTAGGTGTAGCTATAATAAAGGAATTCAACAAATGCAGCGAAGCTACCCTCAGTTAAAATGCAACTGCATGTACATGGGAAAAAATTGTAGTTTTGAATTTGATAGCAATCTCTTCTAAGTAGGAAGTCATTGGATATAGTGGGACACAAGACTATAAATCAGCAAGAAAAGTCCTGCAGAAAAAATATGATATATCCAAATGTAAAAACACTCTTGAATCACAGATAAATTACAGATGCTGATTCAGTCAAATAAATAAGCCTGTCTTTTCAACCAAACATTCTCCAATATTTTAAGATATTTTTGTTTCATTATTAGAGGGACATTGCTCCCATTGGTGTGATGGGAATATTAACACAGAATAGAAGAAGATTTTTTTATTGCAAATTTAAAGATTATAATGCTCTTAATCTCATTGTAAAATTACCAGATTTACCAAGCAGACAATGAAATACAGTCAGTGAGGTTTTCTTAAGAGGTTAATACTTTGCATCCTACACTTTCCAGTGTTTTGATACTCCTGCCTACCTCTCTTTATAAAGTTATTCAAGTCTTTCCTTCATTTACATGTCTGATGCATTCTGAATGCTTCTTATTTAAAAAAAGTTCATTTATGCGTGTATTTGTGTGTGTGTGTGTGTGTGTGTATCAGAGAGAGAAAGAGAAGAAACAAGTTTTGGAGGAATTGCATTGTTCTTTAAAACCCATCTCTACTGTATCATTAAGTAGATACTTTGTCTACACAGGTGTAGTATTTGAGAACCTACAAACATTTTGTATTTATTGGGAATTTAAAAAAAAACAGGTAGCCCCAAAAACTATTGTAAAGAATTGTGTTGTCCCACTGAAGTCAATATGACCCTCACTTTTACATATACATACACTGGAATTAAGAATATGTTTAAGTTCTTGCAGGCCATTTCCTTGTTCTTTTCCAGTCAAGCACCTTTAATTATAAAGCCACACCTTATATTATCCATAGACTACTCAACTTGCCTTGCTTTTTAATGACTTTGCTCATTGGAGATAATGATAATCCAATACATCTGAGATGTTCAGTTGTAAGCAGTTGTGGCCTCTTTTCAAGATGTACACGAGGTCTGGAACAACCAATAATTACACCCAAGTATTAAGGGTCAAACTGTTTGTGTCTCACAATGAAAAATGCTTTATGTTCCTTTTGGGCCTTTCACACCTTAAATACATGAATTAGCTATGAAAAAGAAATGTACTTGTCAAAAGCAGGGTCAAGTTCATGATTTCCCTCTCAGGTGACACAGCTCTAGCTGGCTGGTTTGTGGATCAGCAATACTTAGTGCTTGGGGACTTGTGGAATAAATCAGGGAGGAGCTGCCAATGACGTGCTTTCAACACAGCAGAGAAAGGTATGCGGGAGGGTGAAAGTTGAGGACAAAAAAGATGCCCTTGCTGGTATGAACGGATTTGAAGCCAAGCTCCGGAAGGGAAGTGCAATCTCCAGCTGATTTCAGCACTGGCGGCAGCGGACAGAGACAAGGCGTTCATGAAAAGGTAAGAGGATAACAAGCTGCAGAACTTCAAGGCAAGTTCACAAAGATATACTGTACAATACTGTGCAAATCTATGCATGCTTACTTAGAATAAATTCTATTATGTCAGTTATTCCCCAAAAGCATTTATATATTCTAACTCAGGTCTTTTGGAAAAGTTTTTTTTCTAAATACTTTGTTGTTCCTTTCTCACATTATACCGCCACACTTCTACATGTACCCCAGAAACTGAGCTGCTGCTATTTATTTTTATTTATCCTGCTTTCATTATTTTTTTAGTAAATAACTTAAGGTGGTGAACATATCTATTACTCTTTCATTCTGCTATGTTTCCCACAACAAGACAAAGAGGTGAGTGTGGCTGAGAGAAAGAATGACTGGCCCAAAGTCCCCCAGCTGGCTTTCATGCCTAAAACAGGACTAGAACTCAGATTGTCCTATTTCTAGCGTGGTGCCTTAACCACTAGACCAAACTGGCTAGTCATGTTTTCTTCCTATTTTCTTTTTAAAGTTTTAAAGGTGGTTTGCCTGCACAGGCCTTCATTTCTGTTCCTTGTTCCTTCCTATCTTTTATCCTCATAGTTCTGGCATAGATTTTGCTGAGAGGTTATAAGTACAGATCTGAGTTTGATTCATCTCAATCCTATGTCCTCATACTAATCTGTATTTCAGAGAAACTGCTGTGGTGCAAAAATGAAAGCCAGTTCAAATTTCACATTAGTCATGAATTCACAACCTATATTTAGGAAAACTACTGTTTTCTCATATTTCATTGCCTGTGTTTTACCTTTAGTTATACATGCAGATGACAGCAATACTTTCCTAGATGACTGGTAACTATCACTGAGGGAAAGAGACCTAAATTTGCTACAGGTAGGTTTTTAAAAAATGAACAACTGTTCAATCACAATCCATTTATTAAATATATATGTAGGGAAATTTGAATTATAATGTAATTGTGGCCTCAGGGCAAATTAGTCACTATTTTTTTCAGCCACTAGACCACTCCTGAGACTTGTTCCAGACAATATGTAGGGTGTGCATATATTTGACACATGAATTCATTCTTATGGACTGTTTAGTATCACACATTATAGATGACCTAGTTTGACCATGCATGAAATTGGGCATGAGTATGTATGTGTGTGTGCATGTGTTGCCATAACTTTCAGTGTGTATATACAGTAAACTATATACATAAATTATTGTCATATATGATATTCTCTGTATGATTTTACATTGTAAACTGGATGCATGAATGAACACCAACTTGATGTGCAGCACTAAACTATGATCGTGAGAAACCGTTGTGCGCTTGTGCTTTGGACCTTCGAGGAAAAACTATCATTTTCATTAATATAGATTTATATGTTATTTCTTAATGATCATTTTCATTTCCATAAATTTATATGTTATTTGTTAGTGGAAAGAACTTGCCCTATGTTTTTAAACAGAATGATTCAGGAAAAATCTTATGACCAGAAACAATGTTACTGAGCTTTTTTTTAGCAGTCTGAAATGAAACCTTTTCTCCAAATGATGGAACATGAGAATTACCTAATATCTTCTTTTTTTTTAATGAATAGGTTCTTCTAGATTCATGGTGAAAATGTCAAAGGGACCCTTTGATGAATCCAACTACATCTGTTCCTTTGGAATGAAGTTAACCTGGGACATCAACGATCCCAAGCTACCGCAGGTACAGGGCAGAGGGAGGTTTGGAAAGTAGGTAAGGAATCGTTAGATTGGCTTGGGGAATTAATTGCAAAGTCCTTTCTGTCCAGTGAAACATTGCACACCTCCTAACTGTAGTAAACTTTCTCCAGAGGCAGGAGAAGCAGAATAGAATTTGGCAATGAGGGCATGGTGATGAGCCTAGGACTCTTGCGTCTCTGAGCTTTACCTGCATTTTCTTTAGTCCGCATTTCTTTAACTTAGGAGATGCCCAGGCAGAGTGTTCTTCTCATTAGGAAAATAGCTAATTTACTGAATAGGGACAGCTACAAAACCAGAAGATCTTGACAGAGCCTGTGCTAATTGACAAGCTCACGGATCAGGTCCTAACATTTGGTAGTGTTTTTGGACAGACACAACAAAGGCAGACCAAAGATTAGAAATAAGGATGACAAAGTTATACACTCCCTGTATCTCACTGCTGTACTGGATTGTTTTATACTAATTTACAGGGGATGGCTAGTGCCTCAACTCAATATCAGAGGAGTTTCTAAAGAGGAACGGCATAGAAGAGGCTTTTGGATGCATTCCACACCACATTAAAGCAGGGAACCCAGCCACTATATCTGTTATGAATGCATTGTCACTAGGACTCCACAACATATTAGACTAAGCAAAAAGTAGGATTGAGTAGGTTTGGGGTCAGAATGTTACTGATACCAGACTGTATTCATAGCAGGGTTTATTTGTTTAGACATACTGTAGCATGCTATTAATTAAATATAGGAGTTGTGTTTATTAATGAGAATTAAGTTTTAGCATTTTGTTCAAATAGAATGAGAATGTGTA